GGCTTCCGAATATTACCTCACAAGCCCCACCCTTTCTGATCCACCTTAGAAAAATTGCTATGTTTCCATGTGTCCATGATTGTTTCAGGTAAACCTTTCTTCTCCCTTGGTCTTTCATGGACCCTTATCAAGTTCTTAAAACCCTGTATTAAAGTCACCAAGAATTGAGGAGATTTTGCTTCCTTATTTTGACTATCTGAGGCCTCTCATGATAGCTTTGGCTGGCTTCTGTCCTCCAAATAGTGGAGAATCACACACTCAATTTTCAGCAGTTGCATCAATGGTGATATTGTGGAGCCACCAGAAAGGAGGACCAGCCCCCCTGGAACCTCCAAGTGCCTAACCATAAATTATAACAAGGAGAATAAGAGGGAGAAGTTTCACCCATTGCCTTGTACAAGAATCCTGGGGTCACTCCCAGCTGGGAGTTGCAGTCCCAACACTGTTGGACCTGACTGGGTGGGAAAACTGTTGGAGTTGCCTTTGCTCCCATGTTCCACTTCTTTTGACTGCCAGTCTCCCTAGAGATTCATCCTCTGTGCTTGAATGCACACTGCAAGTAAGAACGGTCCTCTCAGTTGTTTTCTGCAAACAGCATCTCTTGGCCCATGTCCAAAGGCCCATCTCTGTCCTGTTATGGATTGGTCTCTTCCTCAGTCATCAAATAAAAGGAACTTGATAGCTCAATTGCTCAACAGTTGAAAAGTTTAACATATGCCATGCCTGGAAAGGCATGTAATTGTTCCCCTATTTTCATCTCTTTCTTTTGTCCTCTCAGTGTCTAATTACCTTTTTCTTCTCTACAGCTGCACTGCTGTGCTCATTCAATTATATGTAAAGAGGCTGATGTCCTTAAATGGGGAAAAATATATTCACTTTGACAAATAATTCCCAAATTGCGCAATTACTAGGAGAGAATAGTGAATGTGCTACAAGAAACAGCTGAAGTAGGACTACCAAATTGGGTGAAAAAAACCTGGGCGACCACTAGGGGGCAGAAGAAAGATACAGAAAACATCTTGCTGCCCCCTAGTGGTAACTTAGGAATTATAGAGGATGTGATTGCTGATCACTGTCTAGATCTAGAGAGAAGGTATTTTGGCAGTAATTTGGATAGTAATTTGTTTAGAACCTTAGAGGCTAGTTCTGGAACCATAAACCTGCTCTGGGACCCCATTGCTGTCCCCTCATATGCCATCCACGCACGTTGCTTATGGATCCTGCCTTGTTTTGCTATGAACCTTTCTCTCTTGGGCTACATTCACACAACACATTGAGCCAGAAACTAGCCAATCCCATTTTAGCCTGACACTTTGGATGAACCAGTCCATAAGGGTGGTTCAAGATGTAGTGTGAAGTTAGAAATTTGAGTTAATTGGGTAAACCATGGTGAAAGTAACTCTAAGTATGTTGCAAAACAAAGTTATAATATAATTACTTGGGACTACTCTAAAACAGTTTGACTGGCAGTTGAGACTGGAATGTCTACATGAAATATTTTTTTCATGAAGCATAATTACATTATGACACTCCTCCTGTTCCTGATGAGGACCCATAACTCAGTAACAGAGTGGAGGTTTTGTATGCAAAGTCTCCCCCAATGGAGCCCCAGCATTTTGAGTTAGATCTGGAAATAATTTCTCTCTCTGATACTTTGGGGATCTTCTGTTGTTGGTTATAGAGCAGCCTTGCCCAATCTGGTGCTCTTCAGGGGCTTCAGAGTATTTGGGGATGATGGAAGTTGTCATCCAAACACATCTGGAGGGCACCAGGTTGGGAAAAGCTAGTATAGCTGTCCTTAGCTAGATGGTCCTACTTTTGTCCAAGGTAACTATTCTGTTGACTGGGGTCTGGTTCAGTCAGCCTACCAAACCATACTGGTTTGCACAGTATGGCTTAGTGTTGTGTGGAAACCATTGCTTGTTGTCTGGTGTGTTCTACAAACCCAGCTATCTGTGATTTATTTAAGAAATTGTGGTTAAGCAAACCATGGATTGGCATGTTAGGTGAATTAGGCCATAGACTACCAAGAGTTGATTGATGGGTAACTAGAGGAAAAAGGCCAGATGTTCTAGGCAGGAGAAACTCCTCATTGCAGAAGATGGACTGTGTTGTGGTACATCTGGAAGAAAGGAAGAAGGGAACTTCTTTTCACTGGACTTTATGGAGGAACTTCTCCACAACTTCTCTCTGCACTTGAAGGAATGGGCCTTCTTCTGCTTTGGTACAGTGTAGTGATTCTGTGGAATCCTGTCTTTGTTCTGTTGCTTTGCTGAAACTTGCCAAACCATAGTTTCTCCTTAAAATCGAATCTCTAAAAAACAATTACATCTTACATCATGGGTACTTCAACATGGTTGTTTCTCATTCTGCCTGTGGAACATAATGCCACAGTTTCTATTATCTCCATGAGCCAAACATTGGCTGAGCAGCTGAAGGAGAAGCTTTGCAAAGAGTCTGAAATTTTTTAAAAAGTAAACATGTGGAAGAGGTTTATTCTAAACACATGTACCAAATCTGAGCAAAGGAGCTTCCTGTGGACCTCTAGACATCCAGCAAAGTAGATAAACTACAGGCAACAGTTTGCATAGTGAAGTCATCTCTTGCTACAGTGGGGTAAAGTTTCCAAGGCTTTTATGGTTTCATTAGGATCCTTAACAAAACAATAAAAAAGCAAGACAAGCACCTTTCTGCTTAGCTGGGTGACCCTTAAAATCAGGAGGTTGATATAAGCAAAGCTTAATTGCCGATGACTCACTCGTGCTCTTGCATAAACTCATAACAATTTTCTTCAAATTATTAACCCCTGCTGCAGGTCTGGGCAGGAAGCGGCCTTGGGTCTGCCTTGCTCCCGGCAAAACTGCGTGTATCATTTTTAAAATGCAAATGTGTGGTGTAGCCAAGCTCACTGAAACAGTTTGGAAGCAACTGGGATATATTTACGCAAGATTTTCCAGTGCAGGGTTGATCGTGTTCATTTGACCTGACTCCCCAGCATAAAAAGGCACTGAAATAATTTTAAAAGTATTGTTTCCAGTAGACTTCTCCATGGCTTGCAGAAACCCTTGAGATGTGACTTAGAGAAGTCTGACAAAGACCTAGCCTGGAAATCCACTTGACTGTGGATAGAAAGAAGACTGTACACAGAGCTCTGCAACCTTTCAGGGAAGAGGAAGCAAGTAGACCCATGGGAAGTTTGAGAGAATGTTTTGGGTCTTCTCACAGAAAGGCATCCATAGTGGGCGTGACCAGTCACCAAATATCCATCGGTCTGAAAGTTAGATTGCTCTCTCCCCATCCCCTCTAGCCTCCCCACTGCCAAGTTGCTTCCTACCACTCCAAGCTCACCCTTCCAGTGAAAATGTTTCTCAAAAAAGCACTGGGCAAGACCCACCCACCCTTTTTATTTTTTACCAATGTTGATGGAGTCAAAGTGGGACCCAAATGCATTCTTATCATTGAAGATGTCACTAAAGGCTGGTGCTTTGCTTTGCAATATGCTGGTTTCCTCTGTTGATTTTTTTTTTAATTAAAAGAATAATCAAGAAAAAGAGGGGGCCTGGTGTGTAAGTTGCAAAGAAGGTGTCTATGGATACTTTGGTGAGGATTATGCATCACAGACACCTGCTTTGCCACATACATCTACATCTTCAAGCTAGTGGGCCCCAGATGGGCTGGGACATCATTACAGGATTTAGGACAATTCCTGGCAACAACAGCTAAGAGTTCTGTAACTTGTAGTCCTAATACATCTGGAGGACACCAGATTGGAAAAGCTAATATAACAGAAACAAGACTTTCTGTTTTGGCATGGTCAAGAGAGGAATTCATATTCTGGACTTCCAGGTACTTGACATTCTCAGGCTTCATCAGAGTCAGAGTCACTCTGAGAAGGGCACAAAAGAGTGATTGTTGAAAACTAAGCCACCCATTCAATGCTTGAGTTGATGAAGATGATTGTTGCTAACTCTGTCCCATTAGAGACCAGATAGCCAAGTGTTGTTTACTCAGCAATATGCAATCTCATTTGTTTAACCAAGACATCTTGCATGACTTTCAAAACTTGACTTGCAGCTCCAATCATATCCGTGCAATATGTCAGGAACCGACTCCAGATTTGTAAGCATTTCCCTCTAGCTCTGTGCTGGGCTTGGCAGTTGGTTACTCTACAATACAGAAATGCGGACCACATAAATGTGCATAGGGTTGTTTTGACAGTCAGGCTTGGCAATTGCACGTGAGAGTCTGGTTCCATGTCTCCATTTGCACAGGACACTGAACCAACCAACCATTTTTAGTGTCCTGCATTGTCTAAACAATGGGTTTATGGTTAGTATGTCATGTGAAAGGAGAAAACTGGATTAGATAAAACATTGACAACCTTGTCATCATACTTGTTTCCAGGAAAGCAGACTCCATACTGAAGCTCTAGATATTTTACAGTCCCACATCTCTGCTCTTGCTACTTTGGTGTTTCTGAATTATTGGGCCCCGTTTGTACAGCTGGAAAGAAAGCAGAGACAATCTGTTTCTACTTGATTGTAGGAACAACTCCACCCATGGAAATGCCATCTCAGATCTGTTGACACTTCTAATCCTGTTGTTTTTGTAAGCGTGCTGATTCAGAATAAGAAGGGATCAGTTGCTCAGGCTGGCAGTTGATCTGGTTCAGTTCTCTGTCTCCAGTAATGGCAGGAGCAATTATCACTCTGAAATTTATAAATCAGGCATACTTCCAAATGACGTCTCCTGCTACTCAGTCTCCAATAATTGAAATTCAACGTGGATGGCTAGGTCTCTGTTAAGCTCTCTCGAGCCACACCACTTCGTTCCTCCTGTGTCTACAGGACTTCATCACTGCTCCTGATGAACTTACTCTGCCTCAATTTCCCAGCCTCCTTTTTAAAACAAGCCAGTTCCCTGGTAACAAGAATCTACTTTCCCATCATCTTGGTTCATTCATGGTTTCAGACATATTGTCTTATTTAATTATTCTCACATAAAGAATATATTGCTTTAGTCCAAGGACACCAGGTTGGAGAAACCTGCTTACAATAATGGCTCAATTGTAGCTATTTCAGATATCCAAGCTACCACACAGTAGTGGCTATTGGTAAGCAATCCTGAAATTAGGACTAAGGGCCCACTTCATGCCCACAATCCAGTTCAGAAAAGCATACATTAGTTCCAATAGTTTCCATGGGCTCAAGCCGGATTAACTCCACATTGGATTCATCCATTCCATGTATGAATTACAAAGTTCCAGATCATTTATAACATTTATGAGGTCAACTGTAATGATAAAGCAATCATTCATTTCAAGCATTTGGATGGCCACAGATAAACTATGGATTATTCCTCTGAAATAACCCATTGAGAAATAAGGAAAAGAAAAGAATAGGATTTTCCTCTTCTACTCTAAAAAAGTTGTGCTGGTGGTTGGTGTGGTGGAACTGGAAGGGAGAAGGCTCACCTCTCACAGGAGCTGGTAGCCAGATGGAGAGATCAACAACCATCTCTCCTGCCCATTTCATAGCAGTGTTTAAGACATTTATATGTGTGTGTATTTTTTCTTTAAAGGCCAGGGGCAACCGCATAAATGAATAAGCATACATTTGGGACCTAAACGTTAGGGAAGAAAGTAGGCTGCTTGCCTGAAATATGGGGGAGAACCAAGGTTATGGCTGAAGCAAAGTTTGATTGAACAGGTGCAGATATCAACCTGTCTGTCTCATGCAAGTGAAGAAGCTGAAATTAATACTGAGAATAAAGGCACCTCTAAGACTTTGCTTTGGACGCTCTTGGTGATCGTCTAATGAAAGGGCTTAACTTTACCAGCCATCATAGTCTCATTTCTGGAAAGGGATTCTTTCACCCCAAAGATAGTTAAGACTTAAACGTTTTATGGACCTACCATAAAAAGGCATACATATCTATTCTCTGCCTGCCACAGCCCAGCCAACACAGTTACTCTGAAGCTCATCAGAGCATCGTGGTGGCTTTGCCTTTTGAAGACAAGGCTTGTTTGAGCCTCCTTTTCAGTTCTTGCATGTTGGGTGATTTGGGCCGGACAAGATGGAGGCCCCTTCGTTTCTCCCCATTGCAATTCCCAATGATCCTACTCAGCTCTTGGCACAGCTGCTTAAAAGCCTCATGAACCCCTTCACAGTTCTCTCGGGCAGAGACCTCCGAGTAAGGGCAACTCAGCTCGTTAGCTAGTTGGTGGCCTTCCTTCGTGGACACCTGCCTGGCTCGCAGCAGGTCTCCCTTGTTGGCCATCAGCAGCAACGGGATGTTGGCATTGGGGTGAATCTTCCGGATGTGCTGGTGTAACGGGCGGATGACACGGTAACTGTCATAGTCCGTGATGGAGTAGACAAACACGAAGCCGTCTGCCCAATAAATGGACCGATTTATCTGCTCCTGGCAACAGATGGTGTCATTCTCGTCCTGTCATCAAAACCCAGGAGAAAAGAGTTAAGTTCCAGTTGACCAAACACCAAAGTGGGATTCACACATTGGGCTAGGCCAGAGTTGGTTAAAGAAACCACCAATTGCTGAGTTAGCATCACACAATAAGCCACAAACTATGGTTGACAACCACAATGGCTGTACTCACAGAACAAACTTAGCCCAGACCAAACAAATCACAGTGTAGCATAGCATAAGGCATGAAACCAGCCCAAGTATGTTCCCTCTGACAGATGTGAGCACCTTTGCCCTGGGAGTTTATTGTATTCCCATTAAGTTCAGCATTGTAGCCACATATTTCCGTTGATTTTTTTTTTTAAATGTCAATGTTTGTAACCCAACAGCAGATGGCAACCCCTAGTTGACTTTTGTTGATCTTGAAAAAGCTAAGCAGGGTCAGATCAGGTGAATCCTTGGAACACCATGAGATCCTAGGACTGTAGACTGGGGAGTAAAAAACATCAGTCACTCTCAGAAGAAGGCAGTAATTAAGCACATTCTATACTGTTGCCAGGAAAACAAGAAAATCAGGCATTGGAATAGGATAGAAGTAAACCCAGCAAATATAAACGTAGAGTTGGTGGGATGCTGTGGTCCCGTGATGGAATATGTGATGTTGTTGTGGGGTTTGGGTGGGTTATATTTATTCTGATGGTATGAATTGCTGTTGTGGGCCACCAAGGATTAACATGTATAACTTAGGTGGCCATATAAGTTTTCCAAATAAATTAATAAAACAGCACGGACATGTCCATGGAATCACCAGTACCAAGTTCAACTTAAGGGCATTTGGGTCTTTTGGCTGTAAAAAACATTACATGCATACATACGACCAGAGGGACTCTTTACCTAATTCTAACCTTAATCCTAACAGATTTACTAGAGATGGTTTCCAAGTGTCTTGCTACTAGAATTCAGGGGCACAGCTGGCTGCTGTATTCCAGTGGCAAACAAGTGGAGCTCTTGGGAGGCAGCCCTAATGTCTCAGCTCCATGTGCTATAGGTAGCCCATCCCTGCCCTAAAATAAAACACAAGCTACATCTAAAGTTCTGTGTTCATAGCATGAAGTCTTGACTGCCCAGAGCAAGCCCAGCTCCAAGAACTGGCCTTCCAAAAAACCAAGCCTAGTCCAGGGTTTGTTATCCATGTTGCAATCGTCAGACATCAGGAAGAGGAGTCGTGTTGCTACAACAAATGCAACGTGTTGATTTCGGCTCACCCTTTCTGACAGATCTATTTACCCATCAGCTTTGCCACAGTATTGACTATGGGTGTCCCACAGTGGTGGCCACCATGCTCCCAAAGCAGTGTGTGAGTTCACCGCAAAGACTTCAGAATGAAACCAGGCCAACTGTAGTCCTATGAAAGTTCTCCTGCTGAATCAACAAGTCTACGGTGAGGAGGTTAAATCAATGGTGGCACATGGAAGCTCAAATGGGGATGTGATGAGCTTGACAATGATTCACAACATCACCAGGCCAAGGGCTGTCTCCAGCCCCAGTTCAAACAGTTTCTGTGGTTGATAGACTCCTGTCAGAGGAGCATCTGATTTCCCTCCATGACTACAAGATTTGACCCACTAAGAAGATGGGGGTGGAAGAAGGAAATCATGTGAAATATCAATGTTTTAAAAAATGCAGAAGGAAGCTAAATGATGTTGTTCACAGGCCCCTGCAGTGATCAGAAAATTTCCTTCACCGTATCTGATTTCAGCCAATAATAGATTGAACGCAATCATCCAAATGGAATGTGGCATAAAGTTAGATAAAGGAATGGAAAGTTCTTTGGGTTTTTAGCAAGGAAATCTCCCTTTAATCATTTTAATCACACACATGCCTAGGCCAGTGTTTCTCAACCTCAGCAACTTTAAGATGTGTGGACTTCCACTCCCCCCAGCTCCCCCCCGGGCTGCGGGGTGCGGGGAGCCCTGGGGGTGGTTGTCACCCAACTTTTTGTTGTGGTGTGTAAAAAAAAATGC